TTATTTTCTGATTTTACCCTGATATACAGCAATGGTTTCTTCCCTCCAGGGTTTTAACCCATTCACCCCTAAAGTCACATTAGTACCTTACCAAATTAAATTCTGGGCCAGTCCATTTAAAATATGTAGGGGTGAATAAGTTAATATGCCACTCTGGCTTATCCCAGGGAAAACAACTCAAAATGCTGAATTTATCCACCTTCTGATAATTATTATGACTATATTAACACCTGTCAATGTTTTTTAGTACATGTGAGTCACGACCTTTGGGTCGTGGGGTGAATTACCTATGGTCAGATGGCATCACTAATTAAATTAATTTCTTCTTTTTTCAGAGGTTGAATTAAATCTCACTTTTCTGACTCAGATGGGAATTATATCTCGGATCAGATAAGCGTCACTATCAAACACCACACAACTAATTAGTATGCTATTATTCATTAATTAGTTGAAATAGTTATTTCACTCTTGTAACAAGCTATGACAATAAAAAAAACCTATTTCCTTCATGTTCCTTTGACAGGCAAAGATTACAGAGCAAGATAGAACTCAACAAAATAGTTTGTGAAATAAACTTGTAAACACATAAAAATCTGAAGATTATAGTTTTGAAAATAAGATTTTTTTTCCAATAATTCTGTACAATAATTGATGGTGGCCTAAAAATTAAACATGCATTCCTGGCCCACTGCAGGCAAAACACTAGTTTGGTTTGGTCTATTAACAGCTAAGATCCTCCAGGCACTATCATTTACAAACCAGTATGGGATTACGTTGTGATTACGTCGGAACCTTTAAATGTGCTATTGGAAAAAGATGTCACATCAGAAAAGCATATATATACATGTCCTTAAGATCAAAATGCAAATACCGGATGAACCCATCTGAACAAATATGAAAAAAGACAAGAGAAAAAAATAAAAATAGTCCTGCTAGCAGCACATTATCCTGACTGGTGAACAATGCCATTATAATTGAGAAAACATCAAACAGATTTTTATATATTTTGTACCTTGAAATTAGCCATACCCTGCAAGAAGTCATAACTTTGCCTGAACCTGAAGGATAAAATCTGAAAATCAATTTTTATGGCAGCCTGTTCCATTAGAAGCATTGATCTAATTGATTATCATCTTTAATCCTCTCCTGCATACCGGGTTAGTGGAAATGTCAGATGTCCTAAACAGGTACAATGTCAAATCTAAATATGTAACTTTTTTAAAGCTTGTTCAGTGATAACACTCTCAGTAGGTTTTGATAAATGTTATCTTCCAAGTTTTTATGTCTATACAGATTTTTTTCTTCCTTTTACTGCTGACTAAATTTTTAAGGTCATGTTGTTGTTTCGTTCACTTTACCATATTTTTGTATTGTCATTTGATGTATATTTCTGGTAGAATTCTTTTGGTGTATATTACAGAAATTTTCCTCTATAGAATTGACACCATATATTTTTCTCAAAATCAATACCCATTTATTTTTTTAAATTGAAACAGAGACAAATCAGGTTGGGGGTGTAGGTGAGGAGGCTGGAGGTTGGGATGGGGATGGGCGGGGTGGTTTGGGTGTTAAATATGAAAAATGTCACTGGTCTTAGAGGAAAAGATAATGAAACATTCTATGGCCTTTCTGAAACTCAAAAAATCAATCTTGAACGTGTTACAAAGATATCAATGTCAGCAGTCAGCAAAGATGACTTTTCATTCTCGGTTTTCTTTACCAGACCTATCATCAACACTAAATCTCTAAGACAATCTGAACTTTAAACTTCAGCTTTTTTCCATTGCAAACTGAGTACAGTTATCAATATGAGAGCCACTCTTACATATTTGAAATGACACATTTTGTTCATTTTCCTACAGCGTTACATGATGTTTGAGTTATGAATTTCAATATTTATGAAAATTTTCTATTCCTGATAGTTTGTTTAAGGTAATTAGCAGGCCTAAATAACACAGCCCTTCCCCTTAAGGTTCTAAGTACTGGTTTCGAATCAGATGCATATCACTCAGATTTTCCTATCTACCAGTAATAGCTGCAGACCTTTGAACATGGTCGCAGACCTTTGAACATGGTCGCGGACCTTTGAACATCAGGTCGCATACAATTAGGACTCCACAGACCCAACATCAAATTAATCATTAATACCATAGACAAAAGGTTTTGTATGAAAGTCAATCGAAGGTAAACCTCAAATAAACATGCTTTCCCCAACGGAAATACAACACGGGCAACAGAAACTGTGACCTTCCGCTAGCCTTAGGTGACGTTCCATCGGTATATAATCGGACAGCTCATTAATAAGACAGAAACAATATTGCTTTGACCAGTGGTCAATACACTAATTCAAACCGCAGGAAATGCCAGATACATCAGTTAAGATGGACACAATGACCACTAGCTGACCACTCCGTTAATAATTGATAAAGGAATTCAATTAGAACTCAATTAGTGTCCGAGCATAAAGCGCTCTACATCAAACGTGCACTGGGTCTAATGGTGTTCTCATCATAAAACATGGATAGATCTTTACTTTCTGAGCAAGGCATCCGATTAGTCACCTTCGTGGTTTAAGTAAATCCTATACCATATAGGGTTGTATTTAATTGGATGGTCTCATCCACAGTACACTGTTTCCTTTAGGCTAAAGGTTATCATCACTTTAACAATATGCAAGAACATGGAAAAGGTTTTTATTTCTATGCAGCAAAAGAAAACTTGAGGAATTACCTGATTGTCCATATGTGGATTTTTTTATTTTTTTTGTGTCAGAATTTGATTTTTTCTTTTCTTTTTGGAGCCAGTCTCAGATAGTTAATTTTCTTTGAAAAGTAATAAAAAATTACCGATTGACAGTTCAAACCTGAAAAGTTCAAACAGCAAATTAATTGGCAAATTTCACTTCCAGCAGCTGGAGAACTGTTTCAATCAGGGATTTTCTTCTCTACCAAAAATGTTGAAAATTAATTTGACAAAACCATTAAGTCCAAAAAACGTCATGTGGTTGTTGGGCATTTTCATTAGAACAGATATGACTGGTTAGCATGATCATGTGACTTTCTCTGTAGGTATTCATATCTTTTAATGAATTCGATCTCATCTGCTGAAGTGCACGTCTGCCTCAATTAGTAACTACACAGAATATCTGTAAGAGATTTAATGACAATTCAGAACAGATACGGTCACATGACAATGACAAGTGGCGACATTCATATGTACATGTGTGGGTTGCGAGTTTAACCAAAATAAATATAGGTTGTTGTAGTTGAGCTGTGCCTACATTTTTTTCCAAAACACAGAAATTGAAAAAGGAACTTATTTATTTTCAGATATCCCCTTCAAGCCATGCAAAACTTGACTCTATTTATAAAATACACAATTCAAACTCTGAAAAAATGGAACAAATGCAAAGTGAAGAAACGAAGAAATAGCGCTATTTTATGTTAATGTAAAGTTTAACCACCACAGTCAGTCGGAAGCAGTAAATGTAGGTGACAGTATTGCTTTATAGTCCTTGTAATAAAATAGCTTTATAGTCCTTTTGATAAAATAGCTTTAAAGAGTCCTTGTAATAAAATAGCTTTTATTAAGTCCTTGTGATAAATTAGCTTTATTAAGTCCTGGTAATAAAATAGCTTTATAGTCCTTGTAATAAAATAGCTTTATAGTCCTTTTAATAAAATAGCTTTATAGAGTCCTTGTAATGAAATAGCTTTATTAAGTCCTTGTAATAAAATAGCATTATTAAGTCCTTGTATTAAAATAGCTTTATTAAGTCCTTGTAATATAATAGCTTTATAGTCCTTGTAATAAAATAGCTTTATATAGTCCTTGTAATAAAATAGCTTTATAGTCCTTGTAATAAAATAGCTTTATAGTCCTTGTAATAAAATAGCTTTATTAAGTCCTTGTAATAAAATAGCTTTATAGTCCTTGTAATAAAATAGCTTTATAGTCCTTGTAATAAAATAGCTTTATAGTCCTTGTAATGAAATAGCTTTATAGGAAGTTTGATAACTGTTGGACTTCTAGTATCAAAACAATGGAACTAAAATTAAGACGAACTTAAAAATCAGAGTATAAAGGAAAATACCTGTATTAAGGTCACAGTGACCTTATACTTGATATAATGCTGTAGTTTTCCTGAGGATGTATCAACAGTTAACCTTTATGAATGCTTAGCTTCTAGTATTAAGGAAAAGGAGCTAAATGTATAGTCTAAGCATTTACAAATTGACCAATTGAAAGTAGCAAACACTTAATGCCCTTCCACTATAGTGAAGAACTTAAAATTAATAAATTACTCTTTTGGAACTTTCAACATATCTCCCAAAGAAACATTCCACTGGAATACTGTCCCCTCCCCCCTAATACCATGGCAGAAAGGAAACAATCTGCCACAATGCTCAATTCACTACAATGTCCAGATCAAAATGACTGTCCTGCAGAAAAAGTTACAGGTTTCCCTGCTAAACTATGGAAGACAGTATTAAATCATACCATAAGATTCTATTCCTACCGCATATTGTTTTTAAATCTACATATTTTTCTTATGAAGATGTTAGTATATGAGGGAAAAATTGACTGATGGATGACAGACAGAATTGTAAGACTAATATTTGTTCCTTTATTGGGATGGGACGGGGCGGGACGCGATGTCACAGGATGGGATGGGACTGGACGGGACGCGATGTCACAGGATGGGATGGGACGGGGCGGGGCGGGACGTGATGTCACAGGATGGGATGGGACGGGGCGGGACGCGATGTCACAGGATGGGATGGGACGGGACGGGATGTCACAGGATGGGATGGGACGGGGCGGGACGCGATGTCACAGGATGGGATGGGACGGGACGAGACGGGACGGGACGGGACGGGACGGGACGGGACGGGACGGGACAGGATGGACATGGGCAACACTAAATGCCCCCTGCCCTGCCCCCCCCCCATTTTATGGTGGGGGCATAAAAATGCAAGAAAACAAACAGGCATACTTACCATCACTATATGCTGTTATTATAAACTTAAAACCCCTCCCTTTTACGATTTTGTGGCTATCGACATCTGACCTGCAATTAGATCAAAGAAAGTTTGTATTAGCATCTGTGATATATAACATATTCAAACAATAACAACTGATTTATGGTCAGAATAAAGATAACAGACAATGTATACCATATATATCCTCCAATAAGCCCATGTAACCAACACATAATCTCTGGCTCACTGTTGGGGTGGGCTTATTACAGGACAAAGAAATACCATTTGTTGGCATCTATGCTGAACTGAAATAGATATGGGTTGGCTTACTACCAAGTCCTCTTAAGAACAGCAATGTTCCTTATTAATCAATGTCCTTTAGAGAGACTCGGAGGCATAATGGTCCTTATCAACCAATCTCCTATATAGCGAGTTAATGCTCCTAATAACGATAACTTTGGAGAGTCGCAATGTTCCCTATCGGCAAGTTTTCCAATCACATAGGCAATGTTCCCTGTCAACCAAGGTTGTTTTCAGTAAAAAGCAATGTTCCTCGTCAGTAAATGTCATTTGGAGATATATCTTAAGTTAGAACATACCATCAAGTTAAGTTACATTCATTACTATCATTGTCACTACTGTGAAACATTTGTTTCAATTCTTTTCAAAAGAAATATTCCATAAAAATCACAAGTTGCCATAATTTGGGGATTTTTTTAAAAAAAATGCAGGGGTCAGACAAGAGACCTTAACACTGCAAAATTGTATACACTTTAACTCATTCCCCCCTGAAATTTCATGATGAACTATTCCAACGTTTGAACAATGTTACCATGCACATAGGAATTACAGAAGCACGCCATCAAAATAAGCATCCAATTAAAGGGCTGTAAAGCATATGGAACAACTTTAAAAAGGGAATTTACTTTTAGCCATAAAAACTCCTTTTGGTTGCTCCACTTCTATATAGAAGGGAGACTACTCATAGTAAAAAACTCCGAGTGGAACTCTTCTTTGTGATTTTAACTGATACAGTGGTACGCTTTACCTTAAAGTAAAACTATCAAGACTGTTTCTTTATCAACACGTGTCATTTAAAGGGACAGGTGTTACATTAACTGGTATACTTTAGACAAAGGAAAATGCCAAATTCATATGTGTACTGTATATAAATTTTCCTACCCATACATGTTTTATAAATCATGATTTATTTTTTCAATAAAATCTTACAGCTGTTAAAAAATCTCTATTCTTATAATCTAGGACATACAGAAAGTTTCCAAATGATGTTATTGTTTCTGATGTAAAATGGACATTTTTAAATAAATGTTTTGCCTGGATTTTCATTTGAATAGAATAAAATAACTATCTTTAACTTTTTTGCTTTCTCCAGAAAAACATTAAATTTCTCTGCTCTGTCAGAAAACTGTGCACAAATAATGCAAGCTATTTTGATGAAACATCTTTTAATTTTATAATTTTTGCTTCCTGTTTTGGCGCAGAAGATAGAATGTGATTCAGCTGCGGCTTGCATTCAGAACTTTATTAGCAGTAAGTAAAACACAAGTATACAGATGCACAAAATTCTGTCGTAAATCATCATCAGCTACATGCATGCACAGTCAGCCCAACCCTTCACCAGGAGCACACGGAAACACTTATTCTCACTGCAATCTTACATGATTTAATTTGATAAGGTTTCAAAACAAAATTTATTATACATTGAAATTCTGATAGGCGTTCATGACGCAGAAATGTAGTCAAATCAATTTCAAAATGTGAATGTGATTGAGATATTTTTATTGACAAGGATTTTTGTAACCAAATTTCAGATTAGATCTGTTATAGGATTTTATTTGAAAAGATAACTTTTTCTAAGATTGACTAGGCTTTTGATGAGAAACTAGAAAATTGCAAAAAAAACCACCATACCTAATTGAACTCAAAAGTCACAAATCATCTATCTGATAAATACACCAGTTTTTCCTGTCACTATACGACCAACACTTCCCCAAGGTAGAGCTGCTAGGTCAATCCATCAGTAACATTGTTTTACCGATGCATCAGTGATTTTCAGTGGGGAGGGTAGTGTCATGAGGTGTCCTTGAAATGTCTAGTGTGAACATATCACCTACTCAAAGTTATTTTACAGTTATGAATTAAAGGGACAATTTAGTGAAGTAAGTTCTTTTATAAACTTGTCACAAAATTCTTCATGATGATATAATTTGATACTCCTTATGTACAATTCATGTCGAGAAATTGACAAGAGACAATGTTTTCTTGGCGTTTTTAATCAGTGGCAGTACTGGAGATATCCTTAACTGTACAGCCGTATGTTTTAGTGGCAGCTGTCGGTAATTTCTAGCTTACAAAAATAGAAGGTAAATTTTAGCTTGATTCACCCAGCCTCTTTAGAATACAAGTACATGCATTTATTCTGAATCAAATCCATCTTCCAACAACATCTCAAACATAATTATCAATGAGTAATCTATATCATGTTTAAATTTATTGATATCGTACTTTCTGCCGTTTGAAATTTTCCATCCGACACCCTCTCTGTGTGTGCATACTCTAATTGAACCTGTTCATTTTTATTCAAATCCAAATGTGAACAGAAATATCTTATTAGAGGTATATCTTATGTTATTACCCCTTTGAGAAAAATCTAGGAATCTGATTGGTTAAAAACTACAGTGTACCAAACTGCATTCGTAAATCTCAAGGGGTATACGAAAATCTCAGGGGGTATACGGTCATGTCATGTGATTCTCAGCAGTAATACGGTGGAATCACGTGCTTTTACAAGGGGTATATGGGTCATGTGTCTTTGTATCTTGCGGCCGGGCAATGAGAGACAACTCGCATTCGTCGTCTGCTTCCGGCGATGTTTACAAAATGACAAAACGTTTCGCTTCGCATACTGATGAGGAAATACTCGCCAAAAGGGCTAACTATGTGCCACAAAACACACAAAAGTCGAACAGACAAGCGGCAAACATGCTGAGGACGTATTTAAAAGAAAAGAATCAGGAAGAACAGTTCGAGGAATTTGATAAAACGAAACTAAATGAGGTAGATCTACTGTGCCATTTTTATCTTGACAACAGAAAAGTTGACGGGGAACTGTACAAAACCAATATAAAAGATTCAAAGGGGTAATAAATTTGTTGGCCTCAGGAAATACGAAACCCTTTAGGGTCATACCATCCCGTATACCCTGCCAAAAATCCGTGTAACTAATAATACTTATATTCTTGCTTGCGATGTACTGTATAAATTGCATTATGTGTGAGCTCAGACTCGTAACTGACACTGTGTTGTTGACAGCGTAGTGCTATACGTGTTAAACTTCTCGATGAAAGGCCCGGATATTGCGCTATTTCTGTCGTAGCTATTTTTATCACCTGCTTTCCCAAAAGATGAAGTTGAAGATATATATTTTCAGTATCGACTCGATTTTCAGCTTGTCATTTGATTAAAGAGTCCCTGTAAGGGACCAAAATTTCAACTCCGAGATTTCCAGTAGTTTGAGTTAACAGATCGAGTTTGAGTTAACAGATCGAGTTTGATATAAGAAGATTAGACTTAATTTGTGCTGTCTGAACATTCATTTAAATGTAAGCATCACAACAATTCTATTTTTAGCAAGTGACCTTGACCTTTCACAAACCACGTCCAAAACTGGTAGGGTTGTTCCTTTTCTCTCTGTGTTCCACTGTGACTAGCTGAACATTGGGTCACAAATGCTGTCAATGGATTTTAACCCGTTTATCACAAAAGTCACATTTGAACCTTACCATATCAAAGACAGGGTAAGTCCAGTTTAAAAATGTAGGGGTGAATGAATTAAAACTTCACTATGGACTGTGCCTATAGTTGAAAACGTATCTGCATAAAGCATGTTAAGACAGATGACAGATTATTTTCCTTTCAAGTGTAAAACCTTTCATATTAGCTCTGATCAATCACACTACAATTTTTAACATTAATTAGTGACTCTGTATAAACATTTAATTAAAAAACCAGCAGATGTATTTCAAACGTAAACATCCTGTTTACATTTTCATTTTTCAATTATTTCTTCCCTTGAGAAATTGTGATGGATAGACCTGAAATGCAGGAGGAAGTCTAAAAGTTCCATTGTAGAAGCAGAATTCATCAAGCCTTTTGCCTGACAAACCTATCTCCTAGATGATAACACTGATTGTCGTCTTCCTCTCCAGCCCTAATGCTCAGACACCTCATTTCTTCAGGTGCCAAGGTTATACCCTAGGAATAGAATGATAACAAAATGTTTTCAAACATTCTTCCGACACCGCTAAATACTTGTATTTGATCGCCGAGAGTGTTCATTTCCTGGCCGCATGCATCAGACTCTGCAGTTTCCTGGTGAAACATTTCAAAACTCAACCCACTCCATCAACCTCAACCCCTAGTTTCCATCGTGGTGCCAGGACAGAGTTTTTTGGGCAAGACAAGGAAATTAACTTGATCCATCAACTGGGTACAAATTGAAAATGCATTCCATCCTGCCTTCATGTTTTCAATTATAATTAGTTTTCTGACCACAAGTTGCCTTGAACTCAATTTCTTTAACATTTTTTCAATATTTTTCTTTCAACTCTTTTAGAGCAAATATTTAAACAAATTGGTGTGTTCTGGTTCAACATTAAAATCTGTAAGTTAATGAAGACTGCAAGGCAATGGAGGAAAATATAATGAACAACAGGACTAAACCTATCAACGATACTTTCTTCATTTTTTTTAAAATTTCTAAATAAAAACAGGCTTGATTGGTCAGATCTTCGAAACAGTCTGATAAACTAATGGTCAAACAAAGAAGCAGAGTTCTGTACTAATGCAATATTTCAGGCCTACCAAAATTACATTATAGTGTAATCATACCGAAATGTCATGTCACAGATATGGAACCTGAATTCCCTTTCACGCAAGTGTTATGGCTGTAGTGAACCTAATTGTAATTAACAATCATAAGAAGTCAGAACAAGTGTACATTTCACTAATTTCATATTAGAATGACCTGTACCCCTTCAGTACGAAAGATTTTAAAAATTGAGCTGTA